TTTTCTAGTCATTTCCAGTCTGTGACAATCCTATATGCTTTGTGGAACACAGGAAATGTCTCCCTTGACCTTTTCTATTTCACTCCCCACAAATCTGGATGAGATCCATCCCCTGGCTCTAGTCAATATTTAGAGAGCCTGTTGTACACACAGGGCACTGTGCCAAATTGTGAGCAAGGCTTTGCCCTCCAGGAGAAGTCCTGTATTAGAGAGAGGTGGATCTGGCCATTCCTTTCATTGCATCCATACCGTGCTTGCATATGGCCTCATGCATATGCAGAGCCTTCAGTTGCAGATGGGGTGCTTTTTAAGGAGAGAATGACATAGAAGTTCAGCTTCAGAGAGGAAAACTAAGCAAGTCCAAAGTAACTAAAATGTCTTTTGAAAGAGGTCTGTTAATGAAATGAAGCCAATACTTTAAGAAGTGCAATAACCAAAATTAGATAAAACCCATTAGAAGGTTTATGTGTGGTATTCTGGATTTGCAAAATTAGCTTTCTGGGCAAGATTGTGCTTTCTCTGTGTATCTGAAGTCAGACTCAGTCTCTGAGGCTGCAGTGCATCCTCACAGGTAGGGCAAGTCCAGTGTACAAATGCTCCTCCTCTTCATGGTCGGGTCAGCTGTTCCTGGCATGTTCGGATACTTCTAACAAGATAGCTTAAGTGGCTGAGGAAAGGTCTTTATTGCATCATACCAAGAGCATTGTCCAAATGCACTGAACTGTAAATGATCTAAATAGCAACAATTTTCTTTTTCTGAGTCTGATTTTTATGGTATGCTGAGCTTCCTCACTTCCGAACCAGCTTTTAACCTTGACAAGGTAGATCTTCACCAGCTGATACTTGTGAGGAACAGCTCGGTAAGAACCCCTCCCAGAATAGCTTTCCCACTGATTTCATCTTTGGAGACATACCTTCGAGTTAAGTTAGACTCTCCACCAAGCTTCTGTTTAAATGCTTCTGTGCAGGCTGAGGCAGGCTCTCCTGGGCTTCTGTCACCAGTACCTCGGTATCTCACACTGGCGGGGACAGGGCTTGCAGAGGCTCAGGGGTCAGCTCAGCACAGTGGCCTCCAGGAAGGGGAACAGCACGGCATCTTTTTGAGGAAGCCAGCAACTCTCCTATAAATCCAACCCAAGAAACAAGATTTGATAATTGTGTCGATTTTCTCAAAGACATCTTGTTCTTACTGTACAATGGCCACAAAGTTTTTCCATGAATGATTGTTAACCACAGAGTGGTGGGACTGGCCATGCTTGAATATGGGGGCCAGTTTCAAGATGCTGTTTACAAAACAACTGGTGAAGAAACCACGACACGAGTATTTGTCGGCCCTGGCTGGGTAGCTCAGTTGGTTAGAGCATCGTCCCACTACGCCAAGGTTGTGGGTTTCATCCTCAGTCAGGGCACATACAAGGAGCAGCCAATGAATGCATAGATAAGTGGAGCACCAAATCAGTGTTTCTCTCTCCCCCCCCTTTCCCTTCCTTCCTCTCTCTAAAATCAATACTTAAAAAAAAAAGAATATTTGTCATTGGAACTTTCGTAGGAGGTGCAAGTGACACTCACAAGCTTCACAAAGAAGGGGAATTGTTTCCACTGGTTCATCAGTGTTATTTAAAAAAAAACAACACAAGAATTTTCCTGATAGAACAGTGTCAGTTGTTTAAAGTGATAATGCCTAATAATGCCTTCTGAGTGTTTGAGGATGTTTAAATACGCGAATTATCTTAATGAAAAAGTTGTAGAAAATGAACAGTGAACGCCATGGAAACTGCAAAGACGCATCCATGCTGCATGAAGGGGGAACGAGACGAGGTCCGTGAAAGGTGCAGGGGGACCTGGCAGGCTTCAGAGTTACAGCAACACTGATACTGAAGTCACTTCCATTTTCTAGATTTCCTTTCTCTCGCCCAGTCCCCGCTCCCTAGGAGTCTTTAGACCCTCCTCTCTCTCTCTCTCTCAGAGGATGAGACAGTATAGTCATTTATAATGTAATGCAACCAACTAGATAAGCTTCTTAATCTCATAGATCTGGTTACAAGAATACTTTGAGGCAAATCCCCTCTTATGCCACTTTTTAGTTCCTTTCTCTGGATCTTCAGTGAAACTATCCCATTTTTTAAAAATATATCTTTATTGATTTCAGAGAGAGGAAAGGAGAGGGGAGAGAGAGATAGAAACATCAATGATGAGTCATTGATCTGATCGAGCCCGAAACCTGGGCATGTGCCCTGACCGGGAATCGAACCCCGATCACCTGGATCCTAGGTCGATGCTCAACCGCTGAGCTATGCCCGGCCGGGCTGATCCCATTTTTCTGATCCAGACCAGTTTCTGTGACTCTTCATTCTGTAGGGTCCTTGTGTCTTCTGCAGAGCGATTGCTCTGCAAAGCATCCAGTGTTCTTTGCTGCCTCCACCCACAGAGCCTTTCTTGCTGAGGAGGAGGTGTGATGCAGGGAAATGAGTGCTTTTCTAACCCATTTGATTGATGGTGCAGATGGTGGGAAAATCCCTGAGGAACTAAAAATTGAATGAGTGGTAGCAGAACTAAGAAATCCATAATTAGACTCCCCTTCTCTTTAGGACCACTATAGAATTCCCACTCTCTTATTTATGCATCAGAGCCCTGTTTCCCAATTGATAGTGAGCTCCTTGAAGGAAGTCTTGGTTTTTACGCCACTGACACTCTAACACCTTAGAACAGGGGTGGGGAATGTCCTTCCCTCGGGCTGTATATGGCCTGAGAAATCATTTGGTCTGGCCCTGCCAAGGCAACCGCAGGCGGGACTCGAAATTCAGTAAATCTAGGAGCTTTTTTCATAGCAACATAAATTTATATTAAGTGAATCATAACAATAACGTAAAATTTGAGCGACAAGTAAGGAACGCCCATTACAGGATAGGACACATACAAGTACATGACGGGACAGACACGTATGCTTCTCATTGGCTGCCTGTATTGCAGTGACTCAGAAGACAGTCAGTGCCAGGCAGGCTGGGAGTGTACAAGGTGCATAAGTGCAAAACTACATCGATCCAGTGATGATGGATGAGATGTGATAAGATCACGACGTTGATCTTGCCTCAGATGACTCACGACAATGTCGTCGACACAGACGATAACTCCAATCCAACCTTTATCTACAGGCCCACGATCAACAATCCTCTCAAAACCTGAATCTCAGATGAGGATTGAGGAAGTTACAGGGCACAGAAGAGACCTCAGGAGTCGATGATATGGATGTTGGATGTGTTTCAAATCCAAGGTGCAGGATTAGAACCACGATCAAAGGGAAATAATCACGTCGCTGGCGACACACACACTGGATGGTTATTAGAACTGAAGTGGTGTGACATCCTACAAATGGCAGCTACAAAGAAAAGAAAAGTTGATGCAGAGTATTGATCTTTCCAAGAGAAATAGACAAATGATTATTTTGTTGTTGAAGTCGAAGACAAACCTGTGTGCCTAGTTTGTGGTGATGTGTTAGCAGTCATGAAAAAAGTCAACCTGGAGTGTCATTACGGTTCAAAACATGCTCAACTCAATGAATTGGGAGGCCAAGTGCGTCTGGATAAAATCAACGCTCTTCAGTGGAGTTTGGAATCACAATAAGCTGCTTTCACTGGGTCTTGTTGTGACAGAGACAAAGTTATTCAGACAAGGTTATGTAGTGAGCGAGCTAATAGCAAAGAAGCTGAGGCCTCTTGTAGAGGGAGTTTGTGAGAGAGTGCACGGTGGCTGCTGCGGAGTTGTTAGCACCAGACAGAGTAAAATTGTCTCAGAGTGTTAGTTTGTCTCTGAGAACTGTCTCAGATCAGATTACTGATGGAGCACAAGATATTGAAAAAATACGGAAGGATTCTGCAGGAGATTTCCAGTTTTTCTCTCTGGCTTGTGATGAGATAACGGACATAACAATCTTGCCCAACAGACTGTTTTCATTTGTGGGAGAACTGCAGAGTTTGACATGGGAGAGGAACTGCTGTCACTGGAAGCCTTGCATGGCACTACAAGAGGTGAGGATTTGTTTGAGAGACTTGTTTTATCAATGAAAAATTGGAAATAACATTTGAAAAGTTAAGTGGCCTTTCTACAGATGGAGCTCCAGCCATGGTTGGCTTGCAAAAAGGGTTAATTGCATTTGTCAAGAAAGAACTGAATCGTCTTAGTCTTGATCCAAGTGATTTAATTATATGCCGCTGCGTCATACACCAAAAAAGGCTCTGTGCACAGTCGTTGCGGCTCAACAATATGATGTCAACAGGAGCGTCATGAATAAATTTTGTCAAAAGCAGGGAGTTTAACAGCTGCCTGTTTAAGGAGTTACTGATGATCTTGACTCTGAGTATGGTGACCTTGTTTATTGCTGTGAAGTGCGGTAGTTGAATCGCGGGAACATGCTCATGAGGTTTTACAAACTGTGGGATGAAGTTAAGCAGTTCATGGAGATGAGGGAAACCTGTGGGGGATCTCAGTGACAGCAAGTGGCTGTGGGATCTAGCGTCATGGTGGACATCACCAAGTACCTCTCAGAGCTGAACGTCAAGCTGCAGCACCCCAACCAGCTTCTCAGCTCCCTGCTTCCAAATGTGAAATCATTTGAAGCTAAATTAAGGCTGTGGAAAGTGCAACCCAAAAGCAATACCACAGTGCCTTTCCCCGCTCTGGGAGGACAAAAGCCTTCTGCAACACTTGAATATGCCCGTGAATGCGCGAAACTAATTGCGGCATTGAATGGAAGATTCAGGACTGGGAAAAGGAAACAAGTGGAACTGAACATCTTTGCTACACGTTCAGTGTGGGACCAGCTGATGGGCCTGATAACCGACAGCATGAAGTCATTCCGCTGCAGAGCGGTGGTGAGCTGAAAGCTGGGTCCAGCAGCCTGCCACAGCTTAGTTCTAGAAACGCTGCATAAGCAGTGATGAATATCCTACTTTGAGGAGACATGCACTGAAATATGCATCTGTGTTCGGAAAACCTTACTGCTGCAAGTTCTTTTCAAAACTTACCATCCCAAAGAGCTGACTGGGCTCCAGACTGACTGATGCAAACCTGGAAAAGCAGTTGCAAGTACCAACATCATGAACACCATAACATCACACACCTCACTGAAGAGAAGCAGTTCCAGCCGTCACATTAGGGGTGAGTTAGTTAAATGTTTGACCGAATATAGCAGGCTAACTTTTAAGATGATAATTTTGTATGGCCTGAGAATGATGTTATAAATATCCAAATGGCCCTTGGCAGAAAAAAGGTTCCCCATCCTGCCCTAGAAAGTGGTTCTGTAAAATAATAATAATGGCTAGCCCTGATTGAATGCTTCCTGTGTGTCAGGTGCTACACTAAGCACTTTATGCTACCATATTTAATTCCTATAACTTCAGAAAGGAAGTATTGTAATTACTCCCATTTTATGGGTGAGTGAACAGAGAGGCTTATTAAAAACTCAGGTTGTGAATACCTGGTATGCAGCGGAGACAGAACTCAAACTTAGGCATTCAGATTATGAGCTCTTAACCCACTATATTGTACTCCTTCTTTATTAAATACTCAGTTTCTAAATAAATATTTGCTGAGCAAAAGACATGAGTGAACCAAACCTAAAATTAATGATCTGAAACCACACAGTGATGTTTTATGTCGTCTTAGAATAACTGTTCTTGGTGTAAGTGGCCAGGCAGGATGCATGGTGCAGTGCTTGGTGCTACTCAATACTCAGGGAGAGAGACTGCCCTGTTATAAATATAAATGCCCAACATGGGGTAACAGTGTAAACAACATAGAAATTTCCTCTTTTTGTAGCCTTTTCCAAACAAAACAACGAGGAGCTATTTAACAGGGAGACTTCACTTACAGACTTAACACATATTGCTTAATGGTAATGACAGGTTAATGTGATGTTATTTATAGAATGGCACCATCATTAAGTACAAATTAAAATGTAGATTTTCATCCTGGTTCTCTATATAATAAGTGGTGTGCTCTGGGGACCATGGAGTATTTTCAAGGGGGACAGCCACTTCAGTATAAGCACAGAACATTTGATTTACTGAAAATAAGACCGGAATATTTGTTCAAAGAGGGGTAGCAAGGAATTGACTTGGGTAAGGATACTACTTCTTAGGGGAGACACTGGACTGTGAGTCAGGATATCTAGGTTTTAATGTTCTTCATTTTAAATGTCTGTTGAGTTAAGCCAAGGCATTCTTGCTGTTCATATTTTAATCTGTGTTCCCAACTGCACAAGAAGGTGGAGTAACCTTCATTGCGCCTTTATAATGATACAGTGTTCTCTTGATCGAATTTTCTATCTCCCACCAGTATTGCCTTTTACCTTCTTACAAAGCTAATCTGACCACAGTACTCTCTTCATTTTCTCTTTTCGTTACTCCAGTTTTTATTGGGTGCTTACCATGTGCCAGGAATTGTCCTTTATATGCAGTTACTCACTTAGTTATCTCACTTACATTATGAGGTGGGCACTGATACCCACATTTCACAGATGAGAAGACAGGCACAGTAGTATTCAGTGACACACTCAGTGACCATAAGGGATGGAAGTGTCACCAAACCCAGACAGTCCGGTGCCGAAACCCACACTGTCAATTAGCACTCCTCACTGCCTGTCAGTGAGACATTTCTTTCTCGAAAGTTATTGAACAAAACATTTATGAGCCATTAATATATGTCAGTTACTGTGCTAGGCCCTGGGGATTCAGAGGCGACCAAGGTTCAGGCACTTGGGTTCAAATAATCTCTCTCCACAAGTGCATTGCTCTGGAGTGCTTTCCTGATAACTCTCCTGGTGACTTATCAGGAGCATGGGCCCTCCAGCCTCCACCCCATTACACAGAAGGCAGCATATTAAACTTGCTCTGAGACTGGGCTGTGGCTTGATCCCTCAAACACAGCCGGATTTTCAACGGCCGCCATTCCCGTCATGTCGGAAGACGTCTGTAGTGGAACCATCCTCTTGGACTGTATGTAGTCAGGAAGGTAGTATAGAGGGTGTGAGCTCATGTCTGGAGCTGCGGCATGGTTCATCTGCCCCTGTACTTAGTGGCTGTGTGATTCTGTGGGTCCTTCTCATCTGTAATGGGGAGGGTCACAGGCACCTGGGATATGCTCCTGGAAGTGTGTGTGTGTGTGTGTGTGTGTGTGTGTGTGTGTGTGTGTGTGTGTGATGGTGCATAGCCAGGTACCGCCTGTAGGAATATGGAATTTATGTAATGTACACACATGTAGCGTTCTTGTTTAAGTTATGATTATAGTTTGACTTGAAACCTGCACTTTCATTTCTGATCCTGAGTTTACAGCTCATTGTAAATTGTTTTCCTGTAGTCAGAGTGTTGCCTTGGAGATGGGTAGTTTTTACATACAACCTATTTTTCTAGTTTTAGAGATCCACTTGGTTCTTCCGTGGTTCTAAAGATGTAATTAATGTGACTATAGGGGTTGTGGCAGGAGTGAAGGGTTGGGTTTCAGACCCCTGAGCTGTCTGGGTGGGTTTCCATAGTAACTGAAATTTGGCTTGTGGTCTTTCTATTAATTTATGGATATACAGAAGTTAAAAATGAAATCTTTCTCCATTGCAATGAATTATCAGAAAAGAATATGGAAATTTCTGTTTTATTTTTTTATCTGGAGTGAGAACAGCACTATTTTTTTAAGCTTCAATTTTCTTTTAACATGTGACTGTAACCATCTTCCCACTTCCCCATTCTCTCCCTTATTCCTTGGTACATCATAGGATCTCGTTTTAAAGTTCAAACACAGGGCCAAAGGCTTAGTGCTGGGATGTTTGGGGAAGATCGTACAGGGTATAAGAAAAGTTGAGTTGCTTCCTTTTTAATGGTGTGGTTTTTACTGGACACTCCTCCCCCCCAGGATCATGCACAAGACAGAAAAGAAATCGCTTTAATTTTCGTTGGTGTCTTTCTGTAGTTGAGTTGAACAGTGGATATGTGTTGGGGCGGAATGCAGGCAGGTAGCATAGCATAGGAAAGATATAATAAGAACAAATCATCATCAAGAAGCATATCAGTCCTTTACTGTTACACCCTAAGCTCATCACAGAGGAAAAAGGTCAGGATACCTCCATTTGTTTCTTTTTAAATATGTCTTTATTGATTTCAGAGCGAGGAAGGGAGAGGGAGGGAGAGAGGGAAACATCAGTGATGAGAGAGTCATGGATCGGCTGCCTCCTGCATGTGCCCTGACCAGGAATCAAACCGCTCTCTCCTGGATCCTAGGTCGATGCTCAGCCACTTAGCCATGCTGGCCGGGCAGGACCCCTCTGTTTCTGTGCCCAGCTTTGGGAGTGAGGGATTCTGGGTCCGAGCTACTGCATTGTATTCAGCAGATCACTTTGTCATAGAGCCACACATCAGACACCTGCTTTTCAATTTTGGACATTTTAGAAAATAATAAAGGTATAATTGGCATACAGTAAACGGCATTTAAAGTGTATAGTTAGGCCCTGGCCAGGTAGCTCAACTGGTTGGAGTATCGACCCAATGTGCTAAGGTTGTGGGTTCAGTTTCCAGTCAGGGCACATGCAGGGGTCAACCGGTGAGTTGGACAGGTGGAGCGATGGGTCATTGTTTCTCTTTCAAACCAATCAATTAATACAGTGTATAGTTTCATAAGTTTGGCATATATGTAAACTCTTTAAACTACCACCACGATCAAAATATTGAACACATCCACCACTACCAAGTTTCTCAGTGCTCCCTTGTAAACCTTCCCTTCCGTCCCTCCATCAACATCCCACTTCATCCTACCCTGTCCCCTGGCAGCCACTTAAACTGTTCTGTCATTATATGCTGTTTTGGATTTTATAGAATTTTGTATGAATAGAATCATACCATATGCATCTTTATTTTGATATTTGTCTATGTTGCAGCATGCATCAGTAATTCTTTCCTTTTATTGTGAACAGCAGTGTCCCATTTTATGGAAATACCACAGCGCTCTATTCACTGTTCATAGGTATTTGGGTTGTTTCCAGTTTTCAGTTACTACAAATAAAGTTGCTGTGAATATTTGTGTACAAGAATTTGTACACACACATGATTTCACTCTCCTCTATAAGTATCTGGGAAAAGAATGGTTGAATCAAATGATAGGTATATGTTTAAATTTTAGGAAACTACCAAACTGTTTTCCAAAGTGGTTGTACCATTTATATTCCCACCTGCAGTGGATGAGAAATCCAGTTTTTGACATACTTTTCAACACTTGATCTAGTCAGTCTTTTTAAATTTAACCATTCTGATAGGAGTGTAATGGCATCTTCTTATTTTAATTTCAGTTCACTAATGGTTCACGATGTTGAGCATCTTTTCTTGTGTTTTATTTGCCTTCCATAAGGTCTCTGTTGCAGTTACTCTACCATTTTAGAGTGAAAACACCCATATACAATAAGTAAGTAAATGAATGGGTGTGTGTGTTCCATTGAAACTTTATTTACCAAAACAAACAACAGCACCACAAAAAATAGGGAGCAGGATGTATGTGCCTTTCAATTATAGTTTGCTGACTCCTGACAGAGATGATCATGTTGCCTGCAAACACAGATTTATTCATTCNCTAGTTTTAGAGATCCACTTGGTTCTTCCCTGGTTCTAAAGATGTAATTAATGTGACTATAGGGGTTGTGGCAGGAGTGAAGGGTTGGGTTTCAGACCCCTGAGCTGTCTGGGTGGGTTTCCATAGTAACTGAAATTTGGCTTGTGGTCTTTCTATTAATTTATGGATATACAGAAGTTAAAAATGAAATCTTTCTCCATTGCAATGAATTATCAGAAAAGAATATGGAAATTTCTGTTTTATTTTTTTATCTGGAGTGAGAACAGCACTATTTTTTTAAGCTTCAATTTTCTTTTAACATGTGACTGTAACCATCTTCCCACTTCCCCATTCTCTCCCTTATTCCTTGGTACATCATAGGATCTCGTTTTAAAGTTCAAACACAGGGCCAAAGGCTTAGTGCTGGGATGTTTGGGGAAGATCGTACAGGGTATAAGAAAAGTTGAGTTGCTTCCTTTTTAATGGTGTGGTTTTTACTGGACACTCCTCCCCCCCAGGATCATGCACAAGACAGAAAAGAAATCGCTTTAATTTTCGTTGGTGTCTTTCTG